GAGTGTTAAAGTCAATAAAGTGATGAGGTTGCCTATTTAAGCATGACCTCATAAGGAAGACAAAAGAGACATTAAATAATTTATTAACAAATAATTATTCCATTATGTTAAAGGATTGGTGAAAAGTCCGAGCGAAATGAAAAAGGGGTGGTAGGGGGCAAAATCTTCACCCCCCCCCTGCTTGTTAGAGATCTGCGAATTCAGAGACTGGACGTACGTCGTTTACTCTGAGTCGCTTACTTTTAGTAAGGAGATCAGAGGTTAGGCACTGTGTTATATAAATACTATAACCTTACATGGAATAATAAAATCATATGGGAGACCACAGGTCACCCAACATAATCCATAAATGTTAAACTCTAATATATCATATATCTTATAATATTGCAGTTAATGTTGCTCAGCAACCCCCTCCCCCTCTTCGTTTTCTAATACTCATCACAGATGGTAATTCCCTTGACAAAAATAAATTTTCTGTTTTTTTTTACGCTGAAAAGGCTTCACAGTTTTACGATTTATTCTATTTTCACTTTACGTATGCAATGCACTATATTTTGTAGCGGAGTAAACAGACCCGATAGACGTGAACTGCGCGGGGGACCTAAGGTCCTAGTTCAGCGTACGTTTTATCCTTCTGCTGATATCTATCAATGCATGCGCACAAAAATATGTATAGAAACAATATCAATATGCCACTGTGAAAATGTCCAGCAACTCTGCATTAACTTTCAAGTAACCTAGCTTAATTACATATTCCCAAATGCCCATCAGTATAATAAATAATATAGCTTGTTTGTAATTTCGGACATATATAAATTCAATTTTCTTTCAGGTATTCAAATTTATGCAATCAATTATAACTACATATGTTCAAGCATTTAACTCAGATTACATGCATTCCTCTTTTCCTGCAACACCAGGATATACCGACAATATACATTTATTGACTGAGTTCGAGGGAAACATGCGTTTTGTCGGATCCAAGAACCAAACTGTCTGCCTGAGGCCGTTAGGCCGAAGGCAGAAAGTTTGGGTCGAGGGTCCGGCAAAACGCATTTTGCCCTAGAACTCTGTCAATAAATGTTTTGTTATACCTATCATTTTATTTTATTTTTTTTTGACATACATGTATTTTGTACTGTATTCCGTGATGTAACATCAGGTCTGTTACTGTTTAACACCAACGAATGAAAATGAGATTAAGCTCCGCCCATTCTGTGACGTAAGCGGTCCAACATCTCTCCGAGCGGTCCAACATCTCGCTCAGCGGTCCAACATCGATTTTTTTTATGCCTGCTCAGCAAAACATTCAAAATATTAGACTTTTTTTCGTATAAATTTATATAGGAACAAATTTTTAAAGGTGTAACAAACAAGTCTAGTATACATGCATCACAAGCACTAGTTGAAACACATATAATTTTTCCAGTTATATCTCCATAGAATCATTCATCTCAAAAAGAATATGGTTTTGACTCACATAGTCTGATTATTTGGAAACAGAGTAGACATTCCTATAATTCTGCTGAAATTCTTTTTTCTAGCCATTCCACATTATGCAGTCTTACTACTCATTTTGTCTAACCCCACTGTACACAATTAACAACTCTAATTAACTTGATACAAGTCAGTAATGAAGCAAAACATGCTTGCCTTTAAATTCCCTTCATTTTATTTAAAAAAGGAAGTAAATGACTTAGCATGCTCAACAATATTGACTTATTGGTAATCCTAGATGTTGCCAGAAAGTTTTTTTCTGGCAGTATTGCCAGAATGTCACCAGAAGTTGTTGCAGCTAGCGGTGATATTTCACTAAATGTGTTGCTGCAATGTTGCCGCAATATAGCAGCAATATTGCTGCAATAATTTTACTTTGGTAAGGGTTAGTTCACAGGCGCTTGACGTTTTTAACCTTTATTTTGATAAATAAAAAATTCCCCCTACTATAATTTTAGTATTGGGAATTTTTTTTTTATTTATGAAAATTAATATTAAAAACGTCAAACGCCTCTGTCTTAATTATATAAATAACATTTATTCAAGTCAGATCCTTTGTCAAAGGTGAATGTGTTACATGGAATGTGTTACAAATTTTATGTCCCTTTCTTTAACACATTTACAAATTGGAAGGTAAACACACATGCTCGATGAATTCTTAATACACTGTATAATAATTTCTTGCCAATAAATTAATTTTTTTCTCACATATACAAGGACATTTATCCGAATTTCTGATTTTGCTATTTTTACGTCTCCAAAATATATTTGTTGTTACTTCGAAAAATCGTCAAAGGTAGTAAACGTACAGGTATGCAATATACATTTGCATAAGAAAATAAATAACATTCTTGTGTGGAATTTTATTTCTTCCCCGAGTAATTTGAACCCCTGTGTGTGTCGTTTTATCCCAGATGAAAGTTACTCATTTGAATTGATGAATGGATCGATTTACTTTTTTTTTTTAATTTTGTGTGATATGAATTATAGGCAAAAATTCTATTCAAATAAACTTTGAAGTCCATTTTTCTAAAGAAAATCAATTTATAAATTTAACAGAATCAATCCACCCCTTTACATATCCGTGTTTTACATCGCACTCATAAATAGGTGTAGACAGACAGGTGTGCACAGGTAAACAAATATTTTTCTATTTTATTTTTTTAAGGTCATCTCCGAGATATTTACTTTATCAGAATGAAATGTGGATAGGGTGGATTAGTTTTTCAAGCAATTCTAACAAAGCATTACATTTTGCATCGATTTTTCTTCTTTTTTATATTGTCAGATAATTTATAGACTGAAAGGAAGAATCCATTTCGGTTGGAAATGGAGATTCCGGAACAACTCCTGGTATGTGGATTTTGTCATAACAGTTTGGAGTCACCAAAACTTTTACCATGTCTTCACACTGTATGTGGGAACTGTCTGGCAACGAAAAGGGAAAGCTTAACGAAATGTACAACATGTCAACAACCAATAGAGGGACTCGAGACTGTACCATCCCTACCCGATGATAAATTCAGTAAAAGTCTCATTGATTTCGCCCGAATTCCAAATGAAACTGACGAGGAGACAAATGAATCTCTTTCAAAGGTACTGAAAGAGCTTGAAACGCAACAAAACGCAGTGTCTATCGACCTGAAAAAATTGAGGGTTAAGTCAGAGGAAGCGAGTTTTGAAGCATTTAAGAATGAAAGAGATTTCTTCAAGTTGAAGAAAAAAGCCGAAAATGAAATTAAGCTTAAAATAACGGACTTAAGAAAACGGTTCGACAAATACCTCCTGGATAAAGAAACTGAAATGATGGAAGAACTAGACAACGCCTTGAATGACGAGGAGTTTGATCTTTCGCAGTCGGTAATTTGGAATCGTTCAGTTATGGGGTCTATTGAAAACAAAGAAGAACTGCTCAATAAATGTAATCTACAATCCTTAACTTCGGCACCCAAAGCTATGGCATACCAGAGGGTCTTAACGGAAATGAAAGACCACATATCACATATTGGAGGATCCATCTCAAAGAAAAGTCCTGCAAAATTGGAAGTCAGTTTCAAATACAACTCAGATATTGATGATGTGTTTACAAAGCCAGTGGGAAGTATTGAGATTCGGAAATCTGGCAACAGTAAAGAAGAAGAAGAAGTCAAGAGAATGTTGCCAACAGCACCATTTGAAAATGCTCCTTACAAGAATGCGGTATATCTTAGAACATTCCCCTCACTTTTACCCGAGGATAGCAAAGGATATGTTGTAGGGATAGCATGGGTACCTACTGACCGTCTAGTTCTTGCCGACAAATGGAACGGGAAACTGAAGCTATTTCATGAAAGTGGTCGTCTTATAAACGTGATGGTATTTGCAGGAGGAGAGCCGACAGACATTGTATACACCAAGGGTTCAAACGTCCGTCATTTATGCCTCGTCACCATTCCAAGCGGGAGACTTATTATGCAAGTTGCAGTCGAGGAGAATATCATGAGGCTGTCAAGTCGTATTGCAACTGTAACGGGATACTCCAGCATTGCATACGATAAGGTTTGCGCCAAACTTATCTGTGGCGTCTGTCAACCCTACGGAACTCCAAGAATTGATATTGTCAGCGCGAATGGAGTGGTAGAGTTCACCATTGCCACCGATTTACAGCGAAGACCTCATTTCATCTGCCCTCGTTCTATCGACATTTTTCACGGTATCATTGCTGGCTGCGATTGGCAAAAGAATCGCATTTTGTTCATTGCACGTGACGGGTCAATCCGAGGGTCGTATTACGGAAGCCCACAAGCCCCGCTTTTGAACCCTGTCGGCACCACACTGGATGGCAGGGATCATCTTTTGGTAGCAGACAGCAAAAGAAACAAAATACACATCGTTTCTTCTTCTGGCGATCACTTGGGATGTTATGATACCAGTGATCATGTCAAGGACCCTCGCGAGATTAACGTTATAGCTCACGAGAATTCAGCGAAGTTGGCAATTTCTCATGGGGCGGGATATGTGAGCATATACCAACTTGCTGACGCTCTCCCTGAAGAGATTCTAAAGTCAGGTTCAGTTTCGTCAGAGGGTTCATACAAACAATGAATTTCACAGGGCTTAGTGAAATCTCAGTCGTATAGTATGGCATTATGAAGAGACCTACAATAACTATATAAAATTACATATTAATTTTTATACTGCAAATAGTACAAGCTTTTGCCAGGGGGGTTCTGCAAATTGTACAAGCTTAAAGTGTATTGGTTCATATAAGTTGATATTTTCTAATACATTTTGTATGGATTTGGATGTATTTCCTGACGCTATTAACTGACACATATATAATTATAATCCTTAGGATTCATTTGGTATCGTTATCAATAAAGATTTATTACACTATTTTTCACAAAATTATTTATATTTTAAATACGAAGAAAGTAAAAAGTTTCGAACGAGACCATTTTTCTTGTGCAAAAATGACCCAGCATAGACAGTCGTTATCCACATTTTACTGTACGCCTCTAAATCGAGGTCAGCAAAACAGCGCAAATACCTGACTCGATCTGGCAGACGAATCAAAGCGCTATACAGCATACAGGTGGATATTTATACCGACTGTGTCCACTGAACTGGATAGAACAGTCACAACCTTGACGTAGGTCAAAGGACCTAAAGGTATGCATTGTAGACGCCAACCCCTGATAGTTCTAAAATAAAATTCCAATTCTACGGAACACTGTTCTTGTTAAAAAAGAATCAGTATATTGCGAAAGAGGAATTTTCACATATTTTTTTTTTATTGTAAAATGTTCATAAATGATAAAATGTTTTTTTTTTTTTAAATGATATTTTGCAAGCAGTTTTGAATGCAAAAAATTAGATAAATAAATGAATAGGTAAATAAAATTTGCATTACGCATTTTATTTACAGAGCCATGTCTGTAGAGTGTGTTATAAAGAATGCAGCTAAAACGGTAGGGGAAGGGCCCCACTGGGACAGTGCTACCAATACATTACTGTACGTAGATATTTACGATAACGCTATTCATAGATATAATCCAGCAACAGGATCAGACGAAAAAATTAAACTGGGTAAGAGATGATGTTTGTAAACCCAAAGGTATGGCTGTCCATATAGACCTTTACCGTAATAATTTGACCGTTTCATAAAGTGTGAATTTTAGTGAATATATTATAAGAAACGGCCAATTAAATCTGAATAATGACTGAATCCAGTGCAAAATGTTTCTTTTATAATGGCATGCCTTTATATTTTGATATCTTATATTTTTAAAAAAAATCATTGAAAAGGAAAAAAGGAATGAGATATCCCGCTTCAGATGAAATTTTCCGTATTACGACGCCGTCGAGGAGTAATATGAAAATCGGACACGCAATTCCGTTCGAAAAACGGCGGCGAAAAACGGTTTGCTTAGGCAGTTTAGTTTAATTTCTTGTAACGATATTTTATGTTGATTATTATTGAATTAAAACTTGATATTTTCACAATATGCTCATATACATTTTTTGATATTTTAAAAAGTCTTCTGCGGGATAATTCGTAACACAGTCAGTTAGTGACCTAATACGGAGTCATACAGGTTGTGAAATGGAAATCCGTATTGGGAACGATTTCCATTTCATACCCTGTATGACTCCGTATTTAGGCCCTAAATGAGTTTGTAACTAATAATACTTTATGTAAAAACTACAAACTAAAAAAAATTCATCTAAAAATAACATAAAGTTGAGGGGGTTTTGGGGTTTTGGAGAACATTTTGGACCAACACTTAAAATTTTCCATTGTTGTTCAAAACGTCCATCTTTTGATATTTAGTCAAATAACTGATGAGGATGTGTAATTGCTAAATCTTCATGTTGCAGACGGTACAGTAGGTTTCGTAGTTCCCGCCAAAAAAGGTGGATTGATAGCAGGAGTGGGTCGTTGTCTAGTTCACGTAGACTGGGACACAAAGAGGACAACCAAATTACACGAGGTGGATAAAGGTCTAGAGACACGCTTTAATGATGGAAAATGTGATCCGAGAGGAAGAGTCTGGGCAGGTGTGATCAGTTTTTCTTTTGTTTAAACTTTATTGTACATGTACCTCTTTTTTCAACAGGGATGGCAATCGATAAGTTTTCATGAAAAGTTTATAAAGTTCATATTGTTGTAAACTTTGATTTCGAGTTCACAAGCAGGTAATGCTGTTCCCCCGACAGTATTATAAATTTAAAAAAAAAAAAAAGATGTAATATACAATTTTTGTTCAAATGAAATACACAACTGTCTACATATCTCTCTCACACACTCTTCGATTTTTTTTACATTGAAGTTTGGAGATAACAAATATTTATCAATTGAAAAATCTGACTGTTATTCCTTATATTTACATTGTATTTATTCCGCCAATCCACGTGCAAGAAGCCCCGCTAGCGCTTATTGTCTCTTTTTGTCCCGCCCTGCACGTGATTTTTTTTTTAACCGCGCCTATCGATGAACCAGTACATTGATGGAAAAATAAAGTACATTTAACTATCATTGGTGTCAAAAGCAAATTGAAAGTTAGGGGGGGTGGCTAATCGAAAGTGGGCGGGGGGGCGGCTAAACAAAAAAAAAGTACCGGTAAATCCCAATTTTCAATGCCTATATAATGTCTATTTTTACAAAAAATGTGTGTGTGGGGGGGGGGGGGGGGTTAAACTCCCTCCCCCGGTTCCGACACCTATGAGTCAATTGGCATTTTATCTCGATAAAAGACATTGGAAATGTAAATATTCTCTGGTAAAATGATAATAGCTTAAAAATTCTCTTCTTTTCTAGGAACAATGGGACCTGTAGTACCGGATGTACCCAACATGAAGAAAATAGGCAGTCTGTATTGTTTAGATCTAGATGGCACGCTGCGCACGATGATTAAGGATGTAGGAATTTCAAACGGACTAGCTTGGTCAGAGGACGGAAAGTCGATGTATTATATCGACTCCACTCCACGACAACTGTACAGATATGACTTCGACCCTTCCACAGGCAGCATAGGTAAAATTTAAAATATTTAGATAGAATATTTTAAACGTAAACCAATAATGATGATAAATAATTTTTTTTCATTTGAAAAATAATCTGATATTAGAAATGTATTCCTACATGTATATCATAAGTTAAAACAAAAAGAGCTATAAAAACTTAACCTATTTCTCTGTTTGGAGAATGAATAACATATATGTACCGGTATGTCATGTCTAGTAGGGGGTCAATGAAAAATATAAATGGTTTCAAATAGTTAATTTGTATAATTTAGCAGTCTTAAATGCGACATATCTGCTCTTTGGTAAATATATATGTTTTTATATAGTTTTTAGCTCACCTGAGCCGAAGGTCTGACCCAAGTTTTACATAGAAATATATAGGAAAGTTCTTTAAAAATCTTCTTTTCAAGAATAGCAAAGCTATAATTGATCATATTTATATGGAAGCATCCTCAAATGGTGTAGATTCAAGTTTGTTCAAATCATGACCCCCGGGGGTAGGGCGGGGCCAAAATGGCCGACCAGAGTTTACATAGAAATATAAAGGAAAAATCTTTTAAAATCTTCTTCTCAAGAATAGCAAAACCATAATTGATCATATTTATATGAAAGCATCCTTAGGTGGTGTAGATTTAAATTTGTTCAAATCATAACCCCCAGGGATAATGTGGGACCTAAATGGCCAATAAAAGTTTTACATAGGAAGATATATATATATATATATATATATATATATATATATATATATATATATATATATATATATATATATATATATATATATATATATATATATATATATATATAACTTTTAACATCCTCTTTTCAAGAACCACTGGGGCCAGGAAAGATGAAACTCATGTGAAATTATGCTCAGGTAGTGTGGATTCAAGTTTCTTCAAATCATGACCCCCAGGGGTAGGAGGGGGTTAAAATCGCCTATCAAAGTTATACGTAGGAATATATTGGGAAAACCTTTAAAATAATCTTTTCAAGTACTTCAAAGCCTTGATTAGTGATACTTATATGGAATCATCCTCAGGTAGTGTAGAATCTAGGGGTTAGCCCTAGAGTGGGGCCACAATGGCTGATCAAAGTTTTACATAAGAATATAAAGAAAAAAATCTTTTCAAGTTCTTCAAATCCTTGATTAGTGATACTTATATAGAATCAACTTCAGGTAATGTAGAATCTAGGGGTTAGCCCTAGAGTGGGGCCAAAATGGCTGATCAAAGTTTTACATATGAATTTATAGGGAAAATCTTTAAAAAAATTTCTTCTCAAGAACCACTGGGCCATGAAAGATGAAATTTTCTTTCTCAGGCAGTGTAGATTCAAGTTTATTCAAATCATGACCCCCGGGGTAGGGTGGGGGCAAATATTGCTGTTCAAAGTTTTACTTAAGAATATATATGGTAATCTTTATTAAAATTATATTCTCGAGTACCTCAAAGCCATGATTAGTTTCAGTTCTGATCTGATATGTTCTTTTTCCTAGCCGATGTGCTCAGGTGAGCGATGTGGCCCCTGGGCCTCTTGTTTAAAAATGTTTTCGTGCATTAAATCAAAATGAACATTCCATTATGTACCTATCATATTGAATATTAGAGACTGTTACATGAAGCTTGAAAATATTGCTCTTTCACTATTATCCTTCTCACTCTAGACAACAAAACTGTAATCGTTGACAATTCTGGTAAGTCAGTACCAGAGTTTGGTTTACCAGATGGAATGACACTAGACACAGAAGGAAAGGCATGGGTCGCCAATTTTTTCAGCAAAAAGGTTGTCCGTTATGACACAAACACTGGTATGTTGATATTTGATTATTTATAATTACCATTTAATTTTGCTAGAATTGTTACTCTTACATATTCATCCTGACTAGAATACAATTAAATTGCACTAAAGCTTCTTACATAAAGCGATGTAATGAATGACCAGTGGTTTTTCCATATTGCAAAATATTATAGATCTATAAATTTCACTTTGCAGATTTCTGAATATAAATTTCAACATATCTTACTTAGTTTATTTGATATTTCTTATAGGGGAATTCAAAGAGTTTTATGAAATTTATAAATGTAGAAAAGTGAGAGTGATCAGTGATTATACATCTTAAGAAGCAGTCCTTGATGTCTCTATCAAATGCATATCTATCTATTCATTAAAAATTCAGATCATCACGAAAAGAAAAACGAAAGATTGGAAATCAGCCAAATTAACAAATTTTTCTATATAATTATTTTAGGTGAAGAATTGCAATCTGTAGAGTTTCCTGCTACAAGAATCACCTCTTGCTGCTTTGGAGGCCCAGATCTGGATGAGCTGTATGTAACAACTTCTATTCATGAAGCACCGGAAGAGGAAATTAAGGAATATCCATTGGCGGGGACCCTGTTTCGGGTCAAGGGACTCGGTGTCAAAGGTTACCCAGCAAATGTATACGAAGGTGAAATCCCTGGACTGAAATAGTTACAGACGTGGTGTGGTTAAAATTATAAATGAAATGTCCAGTATAAAATTGATTAATACAAGAATATCTTGACACATTACACATATAAATCTCTGCCTATATACATGTACAACCTTTTGTATGTAATTGCAATACTTTTTTGCATTCGTATTAATGTTTGGAGTACTTTGCTTTCTACCATTATAGTCTCTGAGTAAATCAAGTCATATTCAATGTTCTTTTTAATATTTTTTTAAACCAAAAATGTATCCTATTCCTAACAATTAGAAATTAACATTAACCATTTCCTAGTTGCAAATGATATTTATACAAAAGTTCATTTGATTGCAAGAACTTCTGTAAAGGGCTTTCTTTCATTTCATACAAGTTCAGTACAGTTAGGTGTTCAAAACTGCATTTTAATAGTGTATATGGTTCCTTATCACTTCTTACGACAACAACAACAGCATGGATGTCACATGGACATCAGAGAAACTTTTTTCACAATTTCCAATGCTTGACAAATTGTATCCCCTCTAGGAAATGTACCAGTTGCTACTCGAACAGGGTACAATATGGAAGTGCCTTTTAGTGTCTTCTCTGAAGAAAAGCCTGTTTCATCTTCCACTGCATTAAAATACACAAAGTAATCGAATCCCATTAAATTTTCAATCTGTGGGTAAACGAGAAATCTTTTTGTCAATGTTGATGCTGCAAGTTCCTTTATATACATTGCAACCAGTGTCACATTTTTTCTCTGGCTTTTCAGATCTTCAGGTTCCTTATCTGCATATAAATCAATTAATCCTTGACCAGGTTGGAAAATTCCTTCAGAAGGAATTTTCAGGAAACCTGAATCATTTGATTGTGACACTTTTAAGCTTGATTCGCTAGGCTGGTAAGATGTCTCTAGAACTTTGCTTTTTAAGGGTATAATAGCTAGGTCATTTTCCTTCTGAAGCTAAACAAGTAACTTTACATACTCTTTCCTCCCGCCACCATTTTGGAACATAACAGCAAACAAATCATAACTTTCTTTACTTTTCAGGATCATTTCAAGACTATATGGTAGTCTTTCTTGCCGCTCACTAGCAAATAAAGGCTCCAGGTGTCGTACCTTTACACAAACGTCATTCTCTTCTAGATTTCGCTCTGCAAATTTAGCATTTGAATCAATGTCTTCTTTCGTCACTTTGCAGAATTTAGCGTCAAAAATGTTAATTGCTACCATTACTCTTTTGGCCTGCTCCTCTGTATAGATATATTTCCCTTCATTTGGAACAAATTCCAGAAGTACTGCAGTTTCGAGCAAAAATTTAGCATAGAGCTCACTATTTTCACATCTTTTGAAATTCGCTATCTCTTCTTGCTTCTTTTTTGTGTATCTTCTTGACATCCCAATGACTTTAAACCACCTTTCCAAATCTTTCCATAATCCTCCTTATCCAGTTGTGAATCTCTTACACAGTCAATTTCACCAGAATGTGCACTTGCTGTAAAGCCCTTTTCAATGAAAATAAATACAATTCTTTTATCTAAGAATATTTCCTTAATTTTGTCAACAAAATGAGAATGGAAAATAGTGATATGGTTTGTGATGAGGCAATTTCTCTGAAAAAGCAGTGAATCTTTCCAAGTTTTTATCTCTGATTTCTTTTTTATTCAAGTCAATGTAATGAACACTGGTGTCATTGTTTCTTTGACATTCGAGTATGTAGTACAAGAGGGAAGATGTTTTTCCCAAGCCCTGCATTCCACTTAGTTAAGTCGACGGCTCTCGATTCTGTCTAAGATAATCGATTATGCCAACAAAGACAGTATGAAATTTAGTCTTGAGGAAGTATTTTCCAGATTTAAAATCATCTATATCTGCAAACAGTCTAAGATCCCCATTGTCTGTTACATATTGCAGGATATTTTTATCAAATTCATCAGGGTTTTCTGGAATCTGAAATCTGAAATGATTTTTTTTTCAAAAATACATATTGATAAACATGAAAACAAGGTTGCTGTCTATAAAGGTTAAATAACTTAAATACATATTAGACATCAATGCATTATTTTGGGTTTCTGTCATCCTGCCATTTTTCCCTCAGAAACTAAATGTATATGGTAATGAGAGAGCAACTTTTTATGAAGTAACCAAAGAGAATTTCAGATAAACAGAAGGTCTATGACCCACAGTGTTCACCTGAGTCAATTTGCTCTAGCTGTTCATCATCAATTTTTCCCTATATTCCACTGTAAAATTTTGATCTCCTGTTGTGGCCCAACCCTACCCCTGTGGGCCCTGATTTGAACAAACTTGAATCTACACTAGTGACTACCTGTCAATGCATGCATATTAATGATTAATAATAGCTCTGTTGTTCTTCATCACAAGATTTTTTGAAATTTTCTTACCGTTTTAATCTCCTATTGCAGCCCCACTCAACCACTGGGGGCCCTGATTTGAACAACATGAATCTACACTACCTAACAATGTTTGAATATTACTATGAGTTATGACTAATCATAGCCCTATTGTTCTTCTGAAGAATATTTTTCAAAGACCTTTTCCTTGATCCTCTATTGTGGGCCCAGAAGTGAGGCTCTTCCTCAAAATCAATGAAATTACACCAATTTGTGTTGAATATTCATTTTAGACTTGATTCCAATTTATTACTGCAAGTATGTAAGAGCAGAAAGTGTCAACCTGTCCTTTAAGAGTTGAAAAGTTATCCCCTTTTGTTTAAGAAAAATCAATTTTAATATAATCTAGTACTAGATGTGACAGTGTGGGAAGAATGTTCCCGCGGACAATCAAGTTTTAAATATTTGAATGTTCAGTGTTGTGCAAATAACAATGGGGAAAATGAAACAAAAGCAGAATTTCTATTGCCTCCTTTTCTTTCTTGGATCAGTTGCAAAAACCATAACTTTATACTTTAGCTGCAAGAAGATGGTGACTATTCAAATTGATAATGATAAAACAGTTTCAATGCTTGCATTCATTATCATTTATTAATGTGTGTATATATATATACTTGAATACATTTTTTTCAGTTCTTGAACATGAAACTCCGGAAATTCCCAATTTTTTCCTCTATATCTAAAATAAGAGACCCATGGGCTATATCGCTCACCTGAGTAGCTTTGACCATGCTGTTCTTAACCAGATTCTCCCTTGTAATACCTATTGTAACCTCACCCAACCCCAAGGGTCATAATTTGGACAATTTAATTTCTAAATTACCCCCAGGATGCTTTAACATAAGTTTCAATTATTCTGGCACTTGTGTTCCCTATTGTGGCCCCGCCCTATGCAAGGGGGGGGGGCATGATTTGAACAAATCTACACTACCCCAGGATGCCTCCACATAAGTTTCAGCTTTTCTGGCCCAGTGGTTCTTGACAAGAAGAGTTTTAGGTTTTTTTCTATATATTTCTATTTAAAAGTTTGACCCCCTTTTGTGGCACCGCGCAACCCCTGGGTCATGATTTGTATAATTTAGAATATACACTACCCCAGGATGCTTCCACTTAAGTTTCAGTTTTTTTGGCCCAGTGGTCTTTGAGAAGAAGATCTTTAAAGTTTTTTCCTATATATTTCTACGTAAAACTTTGATTCCTTATTGTGGCCCCGCCCAACCCCTGGGTGTCATGATTTGAAAAAAATTAGAATCTACATTACCCCAGGATGCTTCACATAAGTTTCAGTTTTTCTGGCCTAGTGGTCTTTGAGAAGAAGATTTTTTGATGACCCCAGTGACCCTATTTTCGTCTTATCTTGATTATATCCCCTTATGAGGGGACAAGCTAGCCCCTTCATTTAAATAATTTAAACTCCCCTTTTACCCAAAGATGCTTTGTACCAGGTTTGGTTGAAATTGGCTCAGTCGTTCTTAAGAAGATGTCAAAATGCGAAAAGTTTACAGACAGACAAAATGTTATCAGAAAAAGCTCACTTGGGCCTTCGTCTAAGGCTCAGGTGAGCTAAAAATCTTTTAGGACCGGGTGCAAAAAATAGGGCTAACATAGGGATGGTGGGATATCAGGAAATAAGAATACATGTTTTTTTTGGTATTATTATTATTTTTTTTTTTGATTCCCGTATATTTATTTCATATGAAGTTATAAATAAATCATCTCGCAGTCTTTTAGATTGCATTTATTTTTCGATATTCTCTCCACCTGCAAAGAGATAATCTTTATTCAGATAAAGAGGAGAACAAACATTTACATGTGAAAAAGTATTAACCTTTTCTCCAGCTGCGCATTTTACGTGATTTAGCAGACCATTTGACAAAGTATTATCATTTCTAACTATCTAAGGAGAATCGAAGCTAGGCATAATACATATACCATTTTGTAGGGAATGTTTTAGAGATATTTGACATGACTATTCATAAGCCCAACGAATAATCTTATTAGTAGAAATGGAGGTCAAATGGCAATTGAGTGCAAAATTTTATCGCATTTTTGATACTTTTTAATCTTCAAGCTTGATGTATGTTGAAATAAGAAATTTGAAATATACTCAGTTAAGACATGAACTTTTAGATAGTTTAAAAGAAGATAAATTTCCAAAAAGATGATATATAGTTTACCTTTATGCTATCAAAAAATAGATACGGAGATTTTATTTGCGTGAAGTCGTGTTTTACTTGTAACGAGCCCGCGGTCAAATTGACCGGTACGCAAGTGAAGGGGTTAAAGAGTTCAAAATGGCCGTTGAATGTGTGATAAAAAATGCAACGAAAACAATTGGGGAAGGCCCCCATTGGGATGAATTGACAAGTACACTTCTCTATTTGGATATACATGAAAACAGTATCCATAGATTAAATCCAGAGACAAATGTTGCTGATAAAATAAAACTAGGTAAGTAATAAAGTAAGTCACAAGTGTTAAGAGAACCTAATTTATACTTAAAATGACCGTCTTCAAATCTTACTGAAATCCAATTGTTATTGGTGCCCTTGGCCATTTTTCTTACGGTGCAATACTGTATTATAAAATTGTAATGGTTTTTCCATCGTATTACAAGTACACGGCTATGAAAAACTATTCTAAATAATTTAGATATCCATTCTTTAGTCATAGTACAATGCAAATTTTGCAAAATACAGGAATCAAATTTGGACTAAGTTGGGTTTTGTTTTGGTTGTTAATTTCTATTATACTATTACATGTATATGCTATATGTGTACAAGTGCAATACACACTTGAAGGAAATTTTGTACTTACACATATATATCTATACATTGTACATATACATACTAGATTACTAGTATATGTTAATGTTTGTAGCTCCTATCTATTTTTGGTCTAATGTCATATTAATATAAATGTCTTAATTTCCTGTGAGCAGGTGGATATAATCAACTATATCATTTTGAAATTTCCAGGTCTATTTTCAGTCTAATGTAGAAATAAAGAAAATATATCGTTATGATTTCTAGAATGATCAGAAAGCATTCAGATGACCAGAAAGTGCCATTTACTGAATTGTTTTGTAGAGGACACTGTAGGATTTGTGGTACCTGCCAGAAAAGGTGGATTGATTGCTGGCGTTGGTTGTTTTTTGGTACACGTGAACTGGGACACAAAGAAAGTGACGAAACTACACGAGGTGGATAAAGAGACACGCTTTAATGATGGAAAATGTAATCCGAAAGGAAGAGTCTGGACTGGTTTGCCTTTTTTTTCCTCTATCTAACATTCTTCTGACTATTTTTAGAGCAAACGACACTACTCTCAGAAAGTAACTATTATATTAACACGTTTCATTTATCCATTATAGTTTACTTGCAGGAACATATGGAGCAATTGATCCTGACGTCGAGAATATGCCTAAAATTGGTAGTCTATATTGTCTTGACTTGGACGGCAATTATAATATTAATCAGTTCTCCTATCAAAATGACGGCTATTGTTGCAAAATTTGTATTTCAACAATTAAAGTGTATATTTTAAAGTCTTATAAACAAAATTGTAATTAGGAAAAAAGCTGAAGTCATTCATAGTAGGGGGCTTGTCGCTTTACATGCTTTTAAATCTGCGATTTCTTTTTGTAGCTAATCAGAAAGTGATTGTAGACAACGCTGGAAAACCATTGCCAGACTTCGGTTTTCCTGACGGAATGACCATTGATACAGAGGGTAAACTATGGGTAGCATGCTTCCTTGCCAGTAAAGTTGTTCGATATGACCCACAGACAGGTAAATGTTCCTTGTACGATATTAGATGAATTCACTTTTTAAATTGTTCTGCAATACCCAGAACTAGTTAATACCGTAAATCTGGATATTTTTGCTGTAGATAAATTTTTAGCAAATTTGCGAGTTCACTGCATTCGCAAAAATATTTTTCTTAAAAATAAATTACCAATAAGAAAATGTAAACAAAGGAGTGGTGATTCGCAAAATTTTGAAACGCAGAAATTTATCAACACCATTTTGACCCTAATTCGCAAAATAAAATCGACGTAAAAATTTCCAGATTTACGGTATTAGAAAAAAAATGTCGCCTTGTTCGTACTATTGAATGATAATATCAGAAATTACAAGTCTTCATATTTAAAAATTAATCTTTTCTAAAGCCTATGAATAATTTAGTGAATAAATCAGTGTAAGTGTGTGTAAACGTGAGTGAATTGTACATGTGATGCACATATGTGATTATATATTAGTACTGTATATGTAGATATATGAACATGAATGGATTAAATTTTACTTAAACTTCTTTAGGTCAACAACTACATACTGTCAAATTTCCTGCTCTACGAATAACGTCATGTTGTTTCGGCGGGAAGAATTTGGATGAACTTTACGTCACATGTTCCGCTCACGAGGTCTCCGAGGAAGAGTTTCAGAAATACCCATTAACCGGTTCTGTTTTCAAAGTTAAAGGCCTTGGTGTGAAAGGTTCTAAGGCACAGATTTATGAAGGAGAAATCAAAGAGGGTTAAAAAGAGTAAAAGATAGACTTTTCATACAGAGTTGAAAAAAGGAATATACTTGTACTTTTTTGCTTTTATTGAATGTTTATAAATAAGAATTTCTAACTGATTATAAGATTTTGCTATTGGATTCATTTCGGATCTCCTAGAGCAAAACATGAACTTTGCTATTATTATCATATTGAAGGTTGGCGTATTTTATTTAGTTAGCTTAGTATTCGCAGTACCTCTAAGTTTAGTTATACCAGTTATTATCTGCAAAACAACAAGACCAATTTTAATTCACATGCTTTTTCGGTTATCCAGCTAATAGTTACTTTGAAGTTAGAATCATACCTATAATACCCGGTATTATTTTCATGTCCTCCGTAAGCCATTAAATGGTAACTCCAGATTTTTTTCAGTTTTCTGCATAAAAAGAACAAGATAGGCTATGACCCGTTTTTGACCCTTATTTTGAGTGTTTTTCAGAATGATAAAACAGTTTATCCATAAAACGTGTTGTCACCCCTGCCACAAAATGACCTTTTGTTCTAAGTTTTTAAATCTTCAGGGGTGACAGAGAGGACAGAAAATACTGTAGTACAATGTAGGTCAATTTAGAATTTTCTCATTTTAATGCAAATTTTCATCGATTTTACAGCACATTTTGTTTCGGAATACAGATCACAAGCTTGTCTATCTATCAAATTTATAAATCTTATAAACTTGTATCAGATGCAGTTTATTTGTAAAATCTCAGATAGGCAAGCTTTTGGTCTATGTTTTCCGAGATGAGAAAAGTATCTCAAATATGATGAAATTTCCACAGGATTGAGAAATTTCGGGAAAATGTCCAACTTCTGCACCCTCTAGTAGCTTCCATGTAAGCTTTGATTCCAAATAAGGGCTGGTTTTAAAGCAAGCATCATTTGATAAGTTCTTAACTTCAAACTATCAAAATTTACCAGCGTTCTGAATTTTACATCAAATATGGGGCCAGATTTGGTCGTTACCTTACCTTGTCCTCTATCTTGCTTTTGAATCTGATTCTAATGTTACAATACAATATTTATAGTAATTTGCTATCTCTGTACAATTTATTAAACACATCTTGCATGCTATATCCTTAGATACCAGAATCCACGTAATTCTTAGCGATTCTCGTGTATTTTACATGTAGTTTGAGAAAAAGTTTTCCTTTCATCTCGTATAGTCTTTTCTGGGTGACAGTAACATAACAAACAGTATTATTAACGTTATTATCTGCACAGGTGGATAATCTTCACTCAGATAAAGCAAAGAGCAAACATTTACTCTGTATGTGAATCGGTATTAAGGAGTTGTTCCTATTTCAATATGGCCGTCGAATGTGTGATAAAAAATGCATCAAAAACAGTTGGAGAAGGCCCACATTGGGATGACATGACAAATACACTTCTCTATGTGGATATTCAAGAAAATACTATCCATAGATATAACCCAGAGACGAGCGTCGGTGATAAAATAATACTAGGTAAGTAATAAATATGTCATTAGTGTTTAGAGAACTTAATTTTCTACCCGAGATGACTCTCTTCAAACATTGCTGAAATTCACTATTTCTGTTGGTGTCCATGACTTTTCTTATTTCTCTGTAATTCTGCATTGTAAAAATAAAATGATCTTGCCTCGTACCGCAAGTACACGGCTTTGAAAAAAAAATATTGTAAATAATTTAAATATCAATTATAAAGTTAAACACAATTGCAAAATACATATAATAAAAGTGCAAAATACATGGTTAAGAATTTGACTAGGTTGCGCTTTGATTTGGTTGTGAAACACTGAAACTGCTTTTTTGACATTACCATCTAGCCATCCGAGAAGTACAATTCCCCTAGCCCGAAGAGCTCATTCATCGTATTGGCTGAAAAAAGACATCAATAATATAATAAAAACCTTCTGCAAATTATTCATCTCTCACATAATACCGGTAAATTGTTTTGTAGAGGACACTGTAGGATTTGCGGTACCCGCTAAAAAGGGTGGATTGATAGCTGGCGTCGGTCGTTGTCTAGTTCATGTTGACTGGGATACAAAAAAGGTGACCAAACTTCACGAGGTGGAGAAGGGTCTAAAGACACGCTTTAATGACGGAAAATGTGATCCGAGAGGAAGAGTCTGGGCAGGCAGGCATTTAATTATATTCAATATTTTATGTTCTTTTGACTTTTTACAGTGCAATGGGTACTACTCTAGTAAATGTACATAAATTTAACAAGTTTCATTTCATCTGTATATTTTGCTTTCAGGAACAATGGGACCAATTGATCCTGACGTCGAGAATATGCCTAAAATTGGTAGTCTGTATTGTCTTGATCTGGATGGCAGTCTGCACACAATGGTGAAAGATTTAGGGGTAGGAATGCAGGGGTGGTGGAGGGTCTTCAAAATAGACTTGCTTCATTTTAGCGTGGTCAGCATGCGGGTTATCACAATACAAATAAATGACTCGCTTAGCTGACCACGTGACCTTACACCTTCTATCACACGTAATTCATCAACCAAGGCGTGGATCTAAGAATTTTCACATTTTACCAAAATTAATCCTATCGAAAACCTCCAACTAAGTTATCGCATTCAATACATAAATACAATTATTATTCTAATAATTGTTGTTTTATGTATTCTTATGCTTATATGCAAGCTCACCGCAGCTTGTTTTTGCTAATTTTGTATAAGTCAAATAAAACACTTTCATAGAGATGAATAATGTCATTTATTAAAATGACGGTATAAATGTGAACAATTTAACAAACAAGAAGGGGATCAGATTCACAAGCTTTGATTAGCAGTTACGTAAAATATGATAATGTCTGATCCCCCAAAACTGACTAGAAAAAAGTATCTGTAAGACAAGACAATGAAAACTTCATATGAAAAAGTTAGCAAAAAGATGGCACATCAAAACAAAATAGGCCACAAGATGTGACATGCAAGTCACATCCATGTTAGATGTGACATGCAGATCACATCCGTGCCATCCAAGGTGAGCTTGCACACAATACGAATTATTCATGGAAGCAGTTAATCACTGGCCTCTCCATACATTTCGTTTTAAAGTAATGAAATGAAAAATCTTCCTATCATTATTCCAAAATCACGGTTTACACGAAATTGTCATATGTAATACAAAATGAAGGAAGAACATCTAATGATATAATATCCGAGAAATGTTAAGAAATATAGGCATTACTAAGTAATTAAAAGTATGAAAGAACAATAATTTCAGAATAAATGATATAACAATCACAAAGTATTCTATGAGCCAGCAAGCAAGCTAGGTGAAGAGGGGTGTATTTTAATATCTAACAGCAGTTATTCACTGACCTGTCAGTGTGCAAAAGAACATGTTCTTTAAGGTACTATACTTGTAGGAGTAAAACAATACAGCAGTTAATCACTGACCTGTATTTATACTACATTCTATTAGCTGACTATTTATCATGAGTAGAACAAAACAACAGTTAATCACTGACCTGTATTGAACTACCTCCTAGTATCTGACTATTTATTGTTTATAGAACAAACAGCAGTGAATCACTGACCTGTATTTTAAGTACATCCTAGTATCTGACTATCTATCATGAGTGGAACAAAACAGCAATTAAACACTGACCATCATTTGAAGTATCGGTACATTATAGAATCCATTCTAGAATCTGGCTATCCATTGGGAGTAGAACAAAATTTATATGTTTGAGGTCTAGTAATTTAAGCAAACTTAAATTTTGCAATTTCTACCTTGTGATGAGTGATAGTGTCCTTGAGTATGACACAAGGTTAGTGAAAATTTTACATACTCAACCTTGAATTATTTAATTTTCCCTACTTATACTACTTTTAACTGTTTAGTTCCAATTTGTAAATTATAGATTTGAATTAGAAATTGAACAAAATCTTCAACAATCCCAATAATACCTGCAAAACAACTGTTCCTCTTAGAACTGTAGAACCAACTGTGGTATACATTAATTTCATGAATTATTTCCTTTTAATGGAGGAACATACCATGCGGTTATTCCAGACAGTATGAATAAGTTTTACAAGGTGAAGGTTAATATTATTATGATCTTAAGCAAATCGTGAATATAATGTGAACTTCCCAGATTATACTGAATTTTGTAAATAGCATCTAATATCCCTAAAATAAGATTGCATGGAAAGTCGCCTTAATGTTAAACTAGCAAACTTAAAGGTGTTTAAAGTCTTAAAATCTTATTACTAAAGGCATAGTACAGAGGTAATTAATTGAAGGGGTATAATTAGCCTATACCAAAGCCTATTTAAGCAAACGATAAAATATTTTCTTGCAAGATACATAACCTATGATTTTATTTGTAAGAATACTTTGTTTAAGGACAAATTCCTTCCCTATAGATTATGTTTATTATTAAAGACACATTATTTAATTTGTTGCATTAAAGGAACATTAATCCTGATTTTGTCATGTTCAAATTTGTCACATCTTTAATCTTGATTCCAAACAAGATTACTCATTCCTTTGACTGGATAGTCCTAGCATATAGAGTGGATTGTTTACCTGTTGAAGGACATATCCCTCCCATAAGTATTTAAAACTGAAGAAGTGAGAATCCTATCCTTAATTTATTAATAGAAAGGTCAGTTGTAAAAGGGGATCATTTGTGATGTGGATAATTGGAATCTGTAATACAATTTGCTTGCTGACTCACCTGCAAATGTTTTATAAGAAACCAAGTTTCAAGATCTAGCTAGTATGGATGCTTTCTCAACCAACGTTAGCGGATATCCTGGTCATTCAGCTGATCTAGGGCACATCCATGGCAGCACTGCTGCAGTTTTGCTGGCACATACATGTATCTGCATCTTATATAAGGTTATTGCATGGTAAAGTCAAAAAGTGTCAACCAAGTTTTGAACTTTTAAATATAGATATAATATATAAAATTCACGGCATTAGGCACAGCTTCATTTGGTTCCCTAGGCTATGGAGATTATCTCAGTTCCCTCTTAACTGGAATTAGTGGAATGTTATGATGAGGGTTATAAGGATTCTTTCCTGAGGATCTGTGTTCTCACCGATTGTTCGGGATGTATCTACAATGTACTTTAAAGTTAATTTTTTATCATTACTCATCCAAGTACAAAGTGCTCACAAGGGAGGATACAACCTTAAAACTGGGATGCAAAATTAGGTCTACATGAGCAAACAATGCAACAACAAAAGAAAGGAAACTTTCTTTAGAATGAATGTACTATTAATAACATTAATATTAGCTTCAATAGGAAAAACCGTGCCAAAAGTTAGATATGCTTTATAAGACACAATTTGAATGTTATTACGAGCAATTAACAATCAACACTATAAGTAACTTTGACCCAACCAACAGATGTGCTTCATAAGACACCATTTGATCAAGTTGATTGTCATTATAAGCGAATAAAAACAATATGGGTAATTCTGACACAACCATAAACAGATATGATATGCTACATAAGATGCCAATTGACTGTTATTAGAGGCAGTAAATAATCAACAACATAGGTAACTCCGACCCAACAATGAATAGATATGCTTCATAAGACGTCAATTGATTGTCATTATGAGCAGACAACAATAGACACTCTGACCCATCAATAAACAATATAGGAAACTCTGACCCAACAATAAATAAACAATATGGGTAACTCCCAGCCAACAATAGACAATATGGGTAACTGTGATCTAACAATAAACAATATGGGTTACCCGACTCTTCGATAACAATATGAGTAACTCTGACCCAACAATAAATAAACAACATGGGTAATTCCGACCGAACCATAAACAGTATGGATAAATCTGACGCAACAATAAACAATAAAGGTAACTCTGACCCAACAATAGACAATATGGACAAGTCCGACCCAAACAATAAACAATATAAGTAACTCCGACCCAACAATAAACCGAAAAGCTTCATACGACGCCAATTGATTGTCAGTATGAGCATCCAACAATAAAACAATATGGGTAACTCCGACCCAAACAATAAACAATATAAGTAACTGAGACCCAACAATTAACAATGTGTGTAACATCGACCCAACAATAAACTGAAAAGCTTCATACGACGCCAATTGATTGTCAGTATGAGCATCCAACAAAAAAAAAAAAACAATATGGGTATACTGACCCAAAAGGTACAAATCAATGTGTACCAAAACCAAACAAATTTGGGTATACTGACCCAAAAGGTACAAATCTACTGTGTACCAAAACCAAACAAATTTGGGTATACAGACCCAAAGGTACAAAACTGTGTACCAAAACCAAACAAATTTGGGTATACTGACCCAAAAGGTACAAATCTACTGTGTACCAAAACCAAACAAATTTGGGTATACTGACCCAAAAGGTACAAATCTACTGTGTACCAAAACCAAACAAATTTGGGTATACTGACCCAGAAGGTACAAATCTACTGTGTACCAAAACCAAACAAATTTGGGTATACTGACCCAAAAGGTACAAATCTACTGTGTACCAAAACCAAACAAATTTGGGTATACTGACCCAAAAGGTACAAATCTACTGTGTACCAAAACCAAACAAATTTGGGTATACTGACCCAGAAGGTACAAATCTACTGTGTACCAAAACCAAACAAATTTGGGTATACTGACCCAAAAGGTACAAATCTACTGTGTACCAAAACCAAACAAATTTGGGTATACTGACCCAAAAGGTACAAATCTACTGTGTACCAAAACCAAACAAATTTGGGTATACTGACCCAGAAGGTACAAATCTACTGTGTACCAAAACCAAACAAATTTGGGTATACTGACCCAAAAGGTACAAATCTTGTGTGTAACAAAAGCAAACTGACCCACAAGGTACAAATCTACTGTGTACCAAAACCAAACAAATTTGGGTATACTGACCCAGAAGGTACAAATCTACTGTGTACCAAAACCAAACAAATTTGGGTATACTGACCCAAAAGGTACAAATCTACTGTGTACCAAAACCAAACAAATTTGGGTATACTGACCCAAAAGGTACAAATCTACTGTGTACCAAAACCAAACAAATTTGGGTATACTGACCCAGAAGGTACAAATCTACTGTGTACCAAAACCAAACAAATTTGGGTATACTGACCCAAAAGGTACATTCTACTGTGTACCAAAACAATGTGGGTATACTAACCCACAAGTACAAATATTGTGCACCAAAACAATATGGGTATACTGACCCAAAAGGTACAAATCTACTGTGTACCAGACAATAAACAACAAAGGTAACTATGATCCAATAAGTAAATATCTACTGTGTGCCAAACAATATGGGTAACTCTGACCCGATAAGTACCTATCTACTGTGTACCAAACCAATAAACAATTAATATGCCAATGAATAACTTTGACTCAATAGGTAAAACCTTGTACCAAAACAATAAACAACTTAAGCAACACTGATCAAATAGCTACATATCAACTTTTTATCAAAACCATAAACTTGAAAGAGTAATACTGATCCCATTAGTACATAATTATAAACTTTGTACAATGTACTAAAATAATCAACCACTTGAGTAACACCGATTCAATTTGTAAGTATCAACTTTGTATCAACAGTTTAAACCATTAACAACACCAACCCAATAAGTACATAAATTATCCACTATGTACCGAAATGATAAACATCTTGAGTAATCATGTAAATATTGTCTACACCAACCAATTTAGTACATATATTTTGACTACATATTACATGTACAATATTCATTCAATATTTATCAATATACAAAACATGAAATGTTACCTATAAACTTTGTACCAAAACTGATCAAACAATAACGGGCAATTCAAGAAATACCACAGTATAGTAACTATTTGAACTATGTATATAAAGCTTAGTCCACAACCCTTAAACTCCCAAGAGTGAAAATGAGATGTTGGTACCTGTATTAACATGATTACAATACACATTTCTCAACTAACTGTACAAGATAGCTGACATTACCTATCAGATGCCTGTTAAGGAGGGACAGTGTCTTAACGATGCTGCCTAGCTGTTTTACATCATGTTGAATGCAAAAACTTGAAATATGCAGACTATGATAGGTAATTCTTGTAGTTCAACAAAACTAAATAACTTTGCATAAAGTTGCTAACTTAAAAGCTTACACCATAGAGCATGATAGAGTATATATGATTTGAGTATTAAACAATGCCTTTGAATAAATGAAAGTGATAACTTGTACAGAAAAACTATTTGGGAAACCCCAAACGCGTTATGTATAATTGTAAATCACTTATATTTAGTAAACATAATACTGGCCTTCGTCCTCAATTACACGGGAAGGCAAACTCTCTTATGCACGCGGAGAAGCAGCACAGGTGTACGCCGGCTGGACCTAAAACGCCCAAGTCGTTGAGGTTCAGGGTCTCCCGCTGTGGCCCCAGCTGTGAAATAGCGATGCTTGCAGCAGATACTTGCAGGATGTTCGTTATCTATCACAACTTTTTGTTGATCAAACTCTGTGTCCACTGATCATGGAGATCGATATAGAGATAATAATCATTAAAGGTATCCATTTGTTTCGTTCAACCAGTAACAAATAGCTTACTTTGAAATCCTTTCAAAACTCAGACTGTAGGAAAAAGTTCCACGTCTGATGTCGCAATAAAGTAGCTCCATAAAATATGTTCTTCTCATGAATATCTGCTCATAAATAAAGTTCATATCGGCAGAAAATTGCACCAAATGTATCATACAGTAATCTGGTAATATATATGATAACCCGCGCACATATTATGTACCACCGCATCACTAAACAATAAACCAGAAAATCCACACGTTCTTGTAAACGGCACTTTATAACACGGACAATATTTTGTTCCTTTCAATTCTTTGGAATTTCATCTCGACAGAAAGCCAGGGCACGTTCAGCTAAGTTAAACAATCACAGACGTTGTAACAAATCTTCAAAATAGACTTGCTTCATTTTAGCGTGGTCAGCATGCGGGTTATCACAATACAAATAAATGACTCGCTTAGCTGACCACGTGACCTTACACCTTCTATCACACGTAATTCATCAACCAAGGCGTGGATCTAAGAATTTTCACATTTTACCAAAATTAATCCTATCGAAAACCTCCAACTAAGTTATCGCATTCAATACATAAATACAATTATTATTCTAATAATTGTTGTTTATTGTAGCTAATCAGAAAGTGGTTGTAGACAACGCTGGGAAATCATTACCAGACTTCGGTTTTCCTGACGGAATGACCATTGATACAGAGGGTAAACTATGGGTCGCATGCTTCTTTGCCAGTAAAGTTGTTCGATATGATCCAGAGACAGGTATTATCCTTTGTAAGATATTGATATTTAAAAAATTTAATATTCACCATTCAATTGTTCTGCAATACGCATGCAGTACTTCCTAATATTCACAAAATATTTCGCATTGCTCATACTATTGAATGGTAATATACAAGAATTACAAGCCTATTTATATTGAAGAATTAATCTTTTCTTAAGCCTGTGTGTATATACAAGTGAATTGTATATATGATGTACATTTACGAGTATATAGTACTTTATAATTATGTACATACATGAACATGAGTGGATTTTACTTTAACTTCCCTAGGTCAACAACTTCAAGCTGTCAACATCCCTGCTCTAAGAATAACGTCATGTTGTTTCGGTGGGAAGAATTTGGATGAACTTTACGTCACATGTTCCGCTCACGAGGTCTCCGAGGAAGAGTTTAAGAAATACCCATTAACCGGTTCTATTTTCAAAGTTAAAGGCCTTGGTGTGAAAGGTTCTAAGGCACAGATTTATGAAGGAGAAATCAAAGAGGGTTAATGAGGGCAAAAGATGTTTTGTGCAAAATTTAATAAAGAAATATTCATGCATGCATTCATTGAACGTTTAACGTATTTTTAATTGATTATGAGAGTTTTATTTTCTCTTTAGCCCCCCCCCCCCCCAAAAAAAATGACGGTAGTGTAGAACCCTGCAGAAAATAGACCATAGCGTAAAATTTCTCCAAACGGAAGAATTGTTCTAAAGAAGAACCACATTATTTTGTTAAAATAACATTCTTATCATTCAAAAATTGTACATGCAGAATATTGATAGTTTTGTTTGTTTTGTTTTTTTGATTCGGTGCTTTTTTTAATATCTATTTTCCAGAATACATAGAAAACAATAGTATTTCGGAGGTTAAAATACTCTTGAATCAGGTCATTTTTTTGCCAGTCGGTCGGAACCAACCAATTTCTAAAGATGGTCTTGCTAGCTGACGGTTTTAATATTATACACATAAAGCCATTTTTGACACTGAATTGTTTTAAATTTGTATTTTCCCGTTTACCTGAACATGACATGAATCAAATGGCGGATGAGACCAGTCGACAGGGGATTCTTACTCCCCAATGGCACCTGATCCCACCTGCAGTTTTTTGACGTCTGTGTTTGTTCTGCTTAAAATCGGTATTTATTTTAATGGAATTTTTTAGCTCCACTACAGTTCGTTACCTCCATATTTCATGCATAATGTGTTAAACAGGTCGGAGAGAATACTCGAAATCGGGTATTATCCGCGAAATCGCGTATAATACTCGATATTAGAGTATCGTTGAATCCGCGAAATCGGGTATAGGAGATGTAATCACCTAATAAAACTTAAACAATGGGATGGCGCATGTTGCCGAGTTAACTTTCATATAGATACACATGTTTTCTAAAGGTATCACTAGCCAAGTAAGAATTTGGGCGTCAAGATTAATGCGCTCGGGACAACAAATACCAGTGGAGCTCAGTACATTTCATGATCTGCACAAAGAAAGGCGTTCGATTTGCTTTATATTTTTCCTTATGTTGAAAGTATATGCATCTTCCTAATATTCATTCCCAACACAACAGAATTGTAAAGTATCAGAATTCGGGAATTTATAATAATTCCACATCAACACGACAAACATGAACAATTTGTAAATAAATCAAATTATACGGAAACACATTTCACACACCAGATATAATGCCATGTATAAACAAGGGATTGTCTATCGTATCTAATTATGCGTCATTAATTACTTTCACATTCATCTTGTGCATAAAATCAAATTTATTTATGAATGTATAAATAATGTAATGATAAAAATGTCTAAAATTTCGGCTGAAAGAACCCTCTTTCTCTTTTTTGAAAATCTTTTCTTTTTTTATTTATCATTCAAACATATCTGCAGAATATGTCTTCAACATTTTAGCAGAGACAGTGATAGTTTCAGGAATACAGCTTATGAGAGAACATAATTGTTGATCGTTTAATTTCGCTAAGTCATCAATATTTTACCATTTCTTGGCGACTTCAAAAAGGGGGGGGGGGCTAAAGGCTTCTTGACCACCTCTGACAAAACAACCTCGACTGTGTTCTACATTGGTCCAAGAGACCTCTCTTTGAATGTCACGGTCGGTTAAACTCGGTCATATATTTTTAATCGAAAGGGAAGATTTATTCATCAAATAAAAATCATATACACTGTAGGTAAAAAAAAGCAACCTGTTATTTTCTAACACAATATGAGACTACAAGTAACTAGAATTTTATTTTTTAAACACATTTTTTCATTATAGATGAGTATTAGGAAAAATTATTGCCATGAGTAATACATATCATAGATAAAATAACTAAAAGAAAACTGATAGCGATATAAAAAAAACAACATAGAATGTAAAGAGGTATAATTTACCCTGTCTATCAAATAGTATAATAAAGAAAGGAAGTGGCTACGATTTTTATGAAATTTTAATGTCCGATGAGGAATTATATTCCCAAAAAGTAAGACAAGAATTTCCAAGGCAATTGAACACTCCATTATTTCAGTTTGTTCATTAACATGTTCATAAATGTAAAAACTGTAAGAAATGTGAAAACTTGATTATGTAATTCATATTTCAATATGACTGTACCTCGATCTATATTGAGAAATTCAATGTATTATAAGCTCATGAAAAGATGTACACATTTGACTTTTATTTATACCCCCCCCCCCCAAAAAAAAAAACAAAAAAACCAAGAAAATCCTGTTCATATGACTTCTCGCTCTTAATTTTCACACAAATGCATGAAATAAAGGTAGAATAGCATATCTTGTATCGATTAAAATGCTACCAAAAAAATTTACGGTGTCTTTGAATAAAAATTTCATGCTAAATTGACATAAAAAAAGATACTCACCTTCAATTAGCTATTTGCAAACTGTTTTCCCGTGGGTATTTAATCTTATTTTATTTTATTCTTTATAATAACGTTGGTATTCCATTATGGCAGAGATATACAATTATGACTCGCTTATACTGTGCTCTCTAACTTTAGGAATAATTTATATTTCACGTGAAAGGGACGCCATACATTTTTCAGTAAAAATACATAACGCGGCGTTAGTCGTTTAATTTCTTTAAAATGTCACTTTTTGTGAATAGTGCACAAATTAGAAAATTAAGTATATGGAATACTTTAATGGGAAATAAAGACAAACGAAGTGTAGTCATTTGTTTTTAGAAATTATATTGAAAAATAATAACGCCATTGTGTCCTCTTTGTTACCCCAGCAGTGTTTGTCGTATGATTTTAAACTTATTTGAAAACCATATGAATTATGTTTAATAAAAATAAATCCACAAGATACTGATGTACAAGTAACAGTTACTGGCATAATGCGCCGTTGCTTTATTCTTTAGTTTTTTATAGAAAGTTGCACGGAATACCCGATTTCGCGGATTCAACGATACCCTAATATCGAGTATTATACGCGATTTCAAGGATAATACCCGATTTCGAGTATTCTCTCCGACCTGTTAAAAAGTCTTACACTTTGATAGTGGGATATCTTTTGAAAATTGTTTTGTTGCCCTCTACCGACCGACCGATAGGCTAGAAAAATGACCTGACCAAAAAAAATATAACCACCACGATGCTACTATGTGCAAAAATATCTTGTAAAAATAAACATTGAAATTATCTGATTTTTAGCCGGGCTTATTTCATCCTGTTCAAGGCAGGAAGTCAACCCCATAGTCGCCATTTTAAAGTTACGTCCAAAAATATAGTTCTTAATTACTCTCAACCGCTTTTGAGATAATACAAACGCTAAATAAAGCAAAAAAAAAAAATAATAAAACGAAAGGGTAAAAAAGACGTTTATGCAAAACTAACAACTAATTTTATAAACATAATGAAATACAAAACAGACAACATTAAAAACAAGTCAACAGACTCGTTTGCAAAATCAACAGACTACGATGCGAAACCAACGATGGCGCGGAAGTTTTTCTACGTCATCGTTATTTTGGAACGAAAATCCCGCAAATTTATATATCAGGATCCAATTGGCAAACCAAATCGGAATGTATTTATTAATAGAATATATTATCGGTATCGAATCATATATACTAGTATATCGGAATACATACGATAGGGGATCATATATACTATATATTAGTATATATTATATACCCATTTTTACGAGTTGATGGTATCAACTCATGTTATGTTACTGGTAAGGGAATCCCCATGTATCGAAACTAATCACATTTTCGTTTGAGTATTTTCCGTTCAGGTTCTTGTATAATATTGGCTTATTTACAGTATTCATGATCTTCAGAATAAGAATATGTTTTCTGATAGGCTTTGAAGTGTTTATAAACTTAAATATTTATCATTTAATTTTTTGGAATTTGTGTCAATCCGCGAGAGAAAATAGTGCAAAGGGTATGCAGTCAAAAATTATGATATATCGTACAAACAAAGTTTTGATTTTTAAGTCAATAAATATTTCCTATTATAAGTCAGTAATTTGAAATCAGATTCTGAAAGAAAATTTTCAAAATTAAATATTGTACAAACCAGGTTATTTTTACAAGACTGACGTGTTAGTGGTAAATAAATAAAGCAATCCCTGCGCTGATCCAGTATGCTAATGCACAGTGCAATTTCTGCGATAACTAGTGATGAAGTGTTTACATATAGAACACTACTTACATATGTATGTCTGTAAACAAAGCAAGAAACACGTAGTAAAGGTGGTTGAAGTAAATCAAATATTAATCTTAAAGGGAAGAAATGAGCTGTACCAGTTGATAAAATATTTTTTATGTAAATTTTTATTACTTCTTGTGCAAACAATAAAAGAATTACTGTCTTCCACAATTTAGATCTGTATCACAGCAAGTTTTATATACAAGTGAAGGTCGCTTAACATGCTTGTGATTCTTATCTCATTAATTGTCGGCGCTACTCTGGAGAGAGAGTTCGATCTTTACTATGTCCAGCTGCCTCTTACTATCAGATGCTGGCAATGTTATACAGTGAATTAGAAGTGCGTAAGACAGTAAAAAAAAATTATAACACCCCCCCCCAAAAAAAAAAAGATTAAATCGGGTGTTATTCATTAAAATAAAATTTGAATTGTTTGTTTATAAATATAAATCAAGAGACTGAAAAAATCAAATATATTCAAAAGTAGATAGATTAGGTAAACGATTAATATACCATGCCATTGTGATAAATTTTTAGTCTTCACGTAAAAAAGTAATATTAAACGTGCATAAAGGACAAGATAGGGTAAGAGCAGTATTTGGCCCCTAAGTTTGGCTGGTTTTCAGAATGATCCAACAGTTTATCCATAAAAACCTGTTGTCACCCCTGCCACAAAATGAGTATTGGTTTTAAGATTTAGAATATACAGGGGCCAAAGTGAGATCAGGAAATAGGTCAATTTTCGTCATTTCTCATTTTTATGCAAATTTTCATCAATTTTACAGCACATTTTCTTTCAGAAAACATAGAGCACACGCTTGCCTATCTACCAAATTTATATATTTTATACACTAATATGAGATGCAGTTTATGTGAAAAAACCTCA